TAGAACAGTAGATTTGTGGATGTGAGTCCAAATCCTAAGGGTGGACTCACCTTGCCTAAGTGGTGCCTTCTTGAGTTTCGCTTGGTTCCCCGAAGTGGAACTCGCTCCTGCTGGGTGGTCATCTTCCTTGTTTAGTTTCTTGGACCGGTAGCCCTGCCCTCGCTTGTGCCTCTCCCAGTCCTCAATTTGCTCCTTTCTTTTCTCTTCCTCTCTCTGTAACAAGGTATTTTGACCCAACCAACGTCAAATCATACTTAGGGAACAAACCACTTTTCCTACTGGCACTGACTTGATCGACAGTGTGCAAGTCATTGGCACCACTGAACAGAACTGCAGAATAACTGCCTACTCATTTTGTGGAACTTAATCTGGCTAGAGATTGGTAACATCTGAACTGAAAGATTACAGTCCAAAAAGCTAGGTTTGCTCTCCTTTAGTAACAGTAAGAAAGTTTTGGAAAGTACTTGTTGAGAATTTACAGCAAAAGAAACATGGATTTGATAGTTCTGGTAAGAGGAAGTCATACTCTCTTATTCAACGCTGACAACCTTGACGTATGGACAACAGCAATTTTTTAATCACCAGTGTAAATGTAATTCTGATTGCTATGAAATATTATGTGACAGACAAAATTCAATGCATTGTTCATGTCGCTAATTTTCCATTTCAGTCTTCTTCTCATTGAATTTTGAAATGGCTTCCTGTCACAAGTAGCCAGGTACCTGTCTGTATTTTATGTGGTATCCATTTCCCCTATTACTCTTATATGCGCAGCCACGGAGTACCTGCTCAAGGTGGAAAGGACTGGACACGGTCCAACTGAAAGATGGCACTATTGTTTGATGACCACAGCTCTTCTTCTGAGAGTTCTGATTTTTGTTGACCAGATCTATTATGTTACTGACAAGAGAAAAGGAGGGTTAAGGGTTCGAACCTCTGCCACTCTCCTCTCCCTTCCAGAGACAACACTAAAGTTCTCGCCATGGGGGCGTGGCTCCCACCCACCTGTTTCTGTTTTTCAGCATGCTGGGCGACCATGGCATCGTGCTCTTCCTGCATGCGCTGCCTCGCCTTCTCCAGGGCTTCCTGTCTGGCCAGGACGTCTCCTGCACCTGCAACATAGTTTCCATGGCATGAGAGAAATTTGTCCCATCACTTTCCACCAAACTCGTTTGTCAAATGCGTTCCTGCCAAGTGTCCCCATTTCGTCACGTCATCGGGTGGTAGTTTGAAGGCTTGTGGAGAAATAAACTATTGTGAGTTCAACTTCATATTCAATTGGAATACCCATGAATATGTCTGGTGAAGTAATTAACAGACTTTATCTTTGATAAAGCACATTCAGTGAAGGATAAAACAGACTGGAATCAACGTGGACAAGCACTGGGCAAACCCAACTAACATCCTACTATTACTTACTTTTGCTACTTTTTCAAAGATCCATGCATTTTTTACAACTAATCTTGAAATGCAGCTTAATGTTTCAAATAACCTAATTTTCAAATTTCATTTTGCTATTGTAAAATGTATTTGTGCTCCTAAAATGCCCATGTTCATATTATGACACGTGGAAAACTGTGAAGTCATCCTACGAAATAACCCTCAATGTTTCAGTAATCTGTGCACAAAACACTGCTGGATTGTTTTCAGCTGTCCTAAGACTCCTTGCTTTTTGGGAAAATTTTGCAGTACCTTATCAGCCAAAACAGGAGTTTTTCTCAGAAAAAAAGTTCAATAAGCAAATTGTGGCTTCAAAGTTGGAAGAAACATGTAAACTGACGAATGCTTTCCCTGGCTGGAATCACTGTATGGTCAGCAGCCTCGAGAAGTGGTATTTGGTTTTTTTTTAATCATCTTAATTCCGAAAGAATGTCAACTGAATGATGCCAAAGTTTCAGCTTTTAAGATAGTAGTGTAATTATGATATTTTTATTTTAAATAATGGTTATTTTAATGTTTTTAATACTTTTAAATTTTGTGTATATCAAACATTTTTAGTCTTCTGACTTGCTGATTGGTGTTTTTTTAAATGACACCAAACCATATTCCACCATACAATACCAACTACAATTATCATACACTGGAAAAGAAAAACAGTGCATCAATGAAATACATGTAAAATTCACAGTATACATGATGTACCCCCCCCCGGGCCTTTATTTCCGAACATCTTCGAGGCTCCCTGGAGTCAGGAGTGGTGACTTACGGTACTGAGACAGGTTGGTGTTGTTCTCTCGCTTCTGTTGCCACTGCTGTAGGCGAGAGCTGTACTGACTGTACAGGTACAGCAATCCCAAAATACCCAGGATGACGTACCATCCATAGCTGGCTAGGAACTCCGAGACTGCAATTGACACAAAACTTGAAATGGAAACAAGCAAGCTCTTGGTCTCTAACACTATGGCATTTTCCCTTGATGAGGTCTTAAGGTTGGTTCATACAAACCTGAAGTGTACGATGTTTTTGAAGTTTCTAAATGCTTGCAGTCATATTCACTCTGAGTTAAACCGTTTTAAATGAATATTTAATCTCCTGGTGGTGCACTTTCTAGTCATCAATCACCCATTATAAAATTTGAAGTTTGGGCATATTAATAACTGCTTCAGTAAGAGAAGCCTTATTAATAAACCCTAACAGTCCCAAATCCTCCAATTTCAATACGATTTTACATACATCCTAGGGGGTTAGGGTTAATGAGGCAAATAAGGTTTGTAAACTTATACTGACTATTTTCCAAGTTGCAGAAAAAGGGCATATCCAGGTTTTGGGGAGTATTTACATGTTGGTGTAGTATACGGCAAGGAGTTCATGTAGATTTGCGACTAATCCTAAAGTCAGTAAGGAGCTATATGTAGGGCTTGACTTACTCAAGCTGGTTTTGTACTGGTAAATTAGGAAACCTAATACATGTACATGTACATGAAGGATAAGAGTCCTACATATCACTAATTTCCTTGGACATGTTGGAGTGAGATATGTATATCAGCCATCAGAAAGCGATAATATGCCCTAAAAAGCCAAATTTAGTGGGTAAAATATCAAAGCATTTATCTGAAAAACACTTTAAATTTTTCTGACCAGTCTCATTGGCATGCTACTCAGAGAAACTAGAACAGTACGTGAAAATATTTGGACATGGTCAGCAAGAATAGAGCGGAGCCTTCTATAGGCCTAATTACTTTCACTCCAGTTGTGATCACATCAAAACTGTACACAAGACATTGTGGTGCTCAGGGATCAGTCGTTGGCACGCATATACTTGTGCCGACATAGCATGCTTTTTGTGAATGGTCCGCAGGGCCAGCGTGCCGTAACGTTGTTTCCAGGACTTCAACATACATGTACATTTACCCTTTGAATCGCTATTTAAACAAGATGGCAAGTTTGAGTTTGACAACAAGAGCGTTTCCAATTTGAAGGGGAAACTTCTCATCTTTCTCCTTTCTTCCCAAATGTGAGTAAACCTTACAATCATTATCCAAATCTCTGACATGTCTGATTCCCACTCGGTCCATAGTCTGATTGTCAAGCGCATTAGAGTTTAACTTCAAGTTTTAACGTTAACATGTTTTAGGATCATTTTGAAGGTGAATGTGGAAGATTTTTGATTCGGGGTAGGAGCTATTTTGAATAAAATGAATTAACAATGGAAGCAAAAGCCTATGCCATGTCCACGCCCGACCATGTCCAAATGTTTTTAAACATGTTAAAAGGGATTTTTAGGAGGGATCAAGTGATTTTGGGTGAGCTCGTACCCGAGTTAAGTCTTACCCGAGTTACGTTGCACTCTGGTCAACTCGTACTCCAGTCAGATCATACCCCAGTCAAGTCGTACCCCAGCTAACTCGTACCCTCGATGGTTTTTTTTTTCCCTTTTTACTCCGGTTTAATTTTATTAATGAGGAGGTTTATATTAGGTTTTTATGTTAGGTTTACGATAATTTGTCCACCCCTTTCACATTTAATTATTATATATAATCATTATTGACTATTTATTGTATTAATAATTACAATTCTGTTTTATTTTTCTATTTGCAACCAATGGTAGATGCTATTTCCGTCTTTAAAAAATTGCTCCTTCACCCCAAAAGAAGCTGCGACATGAACGGTTGAGCCACTCTATCCGAGTTTTTTATATTCACTGATTTTATTAACTCAAATTAATCAAATCAAACAAGAAGCTGACATCAACCACACATGTTCAATCAGAGTATGTTCACTGATTTTATTAATTCACATTAATCCATACAAAAAAAAGACTTGGATGCGTAAATTTGAAATGAACAAAGACGTTAACTGGATGGAGAGGTGTGGCTGTGGAACATTTCTGTTTAGGGGCGCGCGCTGTGGTCAGATGCATTTTATGTCCTGAAAACTGCGGGGATTTTCAACGAAAGCCGACTGGTAAAAGGAACATGCGTTCAATAAATATTATCATCAAAACCCTATTATGCTCTGCTGGGGAGCGCAAGTTGACTCAGGTACGAGCCTACCTGGGTACCAGTTAACACCGGCACGAGTTGACCTGGGTACGAGTTATTAAACTTGGGTGCGAATTTTGGGGTACGAGTCAACTCGGGTACGAGTTTTGCATTTCGGTCCAAGTTACTCCATGTATGATGTAGGCCTGGGGCTACTCGGACATGTCCGGATGTTGGACTAGGCCTATTTTACGGCTGGGGGTCTAATCTCAATTTGACAACGTGTACTGTTATTACTAACCATATCCAACCCCTTGTGTCACCGTTTCTGGTGTTGGGTTGCCCTCCTCGGGTAGTTCTCTGTGTTCAAAAAGTCCTTGGGACATCCTTGCTTCGAGCTTCAAATACCGACTGCCAGATGATGCCAATCAGTCAGGTTACGATTAATTTCTGTATAATGAATTCGTCGTGAGACGTCTAGATTACAGATGTAGGCTGACGTGTTGATAAAAGGGCGTCCTCTCTTGTTCACTACAATGCAACGTTTCGGGTATACGGACGCATATAAAAAAAACCTGGACTTGCAACGCCTTTGTAATGAAGCCAACGCTGGGTGACCAGCGGCCGAGCCCAACACAAAAGCTTGGGTTGAAGTGGCTCCCTTCTATTGACGTCAGGAAGCACAAAGGCGGACATTGCCTGAAAGCTTTGTGTTCAGCTAGGTAAAATGGCCGCGAGTGGAGTCAATGATCATAGCTGATTAAGGGCATTGCAAGTCCAGATTTTATTATACTCGTCCGTGGGTATACCAGGCACGAAATGGGAGAGAGGGTACCCCCCCACGCACATCCATCCTTACACAGCTATACTTTTGGGGTATTTGCTTGTTCTCGTGTACAAAACTCCCACACAACACGCAAAACATTTCAAATCACTCCAATTTAAACCAAATTCACTTTTCAGAGTTGGAATTTGGGACCCGTATGTCCCTTGCAAAATAGCAGTAGCTCAAGGCGCGTTCGGGCGTACCCGTATTGTGCGCGCATTAGTGTAAAAAGCAATTGACTAGTGGTTAATCTATGGACAATTCCAGTGACCACGGCAGTGGCAGTGGACCTCTTTATTGGTGACAGGCACTGTGTCAGCTGTTGTACAAGTAGCTCGCGAAGGCTTGCATGGTGGAATACGATGAGGTAGAGGCTTTGCGGATACACCATATGGAAAATATCTCTGGTTCTGAAAAGAACCTGTTACTTTTCAGAATCACACATACTCAAAAGAGATATTTTCTACATGATGTATCGGCAAACCCTCTACCTTAGCTATTGTATAGAAACTACTGTTTTGTGACAGTCGCTCCGTACCAAACTTAAACCCAACACAGTGCTTACCACCTCAAGGGGGGCGTCGGGAGTGCCTTGTAAATGTCCGTGGATTCGTCTACGATTCTAACTCTTCCCCAAGACTTGGTTAAACAGGGGGCTACCAAAACAAAAACAAAAACAAAAAAAGGCAAAGTACAGTGTGTTTTTAAAAAAGCAAACCGAGGTTAATTTCTTCATTTCTTTGACATGGCTGAATAGTTTGGAAATTGGCAACCACCATTTATTAACTATGTCCTTTTTCTTATGACACCAAGAAATCCAATTTACTGTCATAGATGACCCATTGTACCCAAACGAAATAACTTCCTGCTCTTATGTCTACGGACCTGTTTGTCTCATACAGCTCCAAATCACGACCAGTCATGCGTCAGTGATCCAACGCTGGTTCACTGACACCAGAACCCATATAATCAATGCAGCAAACCAGCGTTGGGATCACTGATTGAAATCCAGTTCTGTGTGAAGCAAACAGGCCTGACACGGCCCACAATTCAGACACCTATACAACGTTACAAATTACCCGTTCACCACATTATAAATATAAAAAACTATCAGCAAATTATAGGTTTAGTTCTTGAATTTAAAAATAAAAAATTAAGTCCACAAAGTATGCATGGAAATTGATTCTTTGTTTTCTACAATCCTAGTTTCACACACGAGAAAGGCACTGGTAATGCATGCTGCATACAACCTGTAAGTCAAATCACTATAAATCAAACAAGATACGAACACAATTTACCTTTCTTACCTTTGGTATTGCGTGATGAAAACTCAGAAAACTGTCACCTACTTGTTTTAGCTTTCTTGACTTTTGTGGCTGGTTACTTTAACTATTCAGGTTCTTTCTGCTTCAGTTATTCCAATCCTAAATAGTCCTCTAAAATTGATTTCTCTGACAAAACCACCAACCCCCCCCCACAAATCTAAGTGACTTCACCACGCAAGGTCTACACAACCTACATTGTGTGGACCCGTCTTATTCTCGGGTCCTCACAAGGCATACTCGCATCAATCCCATCTTTGGTACAGGACCGAGGCAATATCAGGATAACTCTATCATCCAGCACCTTCAGATGTGACCTTAGTATGAAATGAATTGCATAAAGCTTGTTCTTTGTCATGTACATAAATAATAACCATTCAGGTAGGCACACAAATATACAAAAATACATAAATGTTGCTAAATATACAGTCTCCCAAACGTTCTTGATACAATGATACATGTGGGCACTTACAAAACGATCTAGATTGAGTATCAAAAATAGAAAGCACACACATCATGCACAGTAACTGCTAAATAGCGAGGTCCTATGCATGAAAAAGCTGTTTATAAAGCAGAAAAGTGAGAAGATAAATATCATGAAAACGAAACCTTTTGAGAATTCTAGCTCCAAGAACCAATTTTGCACCTTAATTGTTAAGGGGGGCTCTAAAGTGAAAAATTTGAAAACACACAAAATACCTAACGCAAGGGGCAGAAAAAGAAACAGTGAAAAGCAGTGTTCCCATCCTAAAAAAGATGAACTTGGAGAACCGACATCAAGCTTTTGATCACCCAGTCGTATCAAACAGAATCATGCAGAGGGATTGAGACACCGCAAGTATAAATCTTCAACAAATTTAGAGGTCCAGTTGGGGTTACGGATGAAGTTGTCCTCGCATTGTTCCATCTCTCATGTGCAACATGAGTGGGGCGCAGAGAGGTAGGGTATGGATATATGGTGGGACATCTGAAGGACGTGCCAAGGTAAAAGTCCCCAAAGCAAACTTCGGTTACATTACATCTGCATGTACTCTGCTTTTGTGCTCATGGCATTTAAGCTGTGAGAGTGTTTGCACGTTCACAATCTGGAAAGGAGAACGTTGACCCCCCCTGAACCCTTAGCAATGCCTAAGCACCTCCACCGGTGGACTTCACGACTGTGATCTTCCCTGGCCGCTGCAGTTTCATCTTGTTCTTCAGGATGTTCAGGTAGTCGACTGCCGAGTAGGTTATCCTCTTACACTGCATGTCCTTTTTGGCCTCCGGCCGAAGCACGTACCTTTCCACCAGCGTCCGTCCACTCATCTCACTGACCTCCTTCTTGCCCTGCAGGCAGCGGCTCTTCAGCTCCCGGTTCCGCTGCTCCAGCTCCGCGACGTCCGCCGCCATTCGCCGCACGCCGTATTGCTCCACCTTTGTCCAGAGCACGGCGTTGAAATGCCGGTACAGCTGGAAGTCGCCGCTATGCCACTCCAGGAGGCCCTGCTCTGTGGCGGGCGACAGGCGCTTGACCAGCATGCCGCTGCGGGCGTTGCTGGTGAAGTAGGTGATGTCGTCAAACGTCCAGCACATCAGATCCTTCAGGAGAATCAGAGACTCCTTCAAGTGTTCGGCGATCAAGACTAGCTCGAAGGACTCGCCAAGGGACTGGATCCATTGGTCTACTGCTGCGCTGTCCCCCATAGCGCTGGAGTCCAGCCCCAGGTCGTACAGCATTGGGTTCAGCGCACTGTGCCTCGGGTTCTTCGGGCTGTACTTCTCATAGAAGGTCCGTGGGGAGGAGGCAAACTTCTCCAGGGGGCACCTGTACGTCCTCTCCATGGCATAGAAGCTGTACATGCTCTCAAACTGCTTGGGAGGGTAACGGAGGATCGTGATGAACTTGGTTCCTGGTGCCATCACTTTCTTCATGTCTATGATGGAATCAAATTATAAAACACTGGATTAGGCTGGCAACGTCTAGATGTATCTTCCTGAGGGTTAAGCTCCGACGTCTTTTGCTGTAGTGGAGTTCTAAGCCCTCCCCCCCTACCACAAATACAGGAGCGAGGGAGGCACCCAATCCGTACTGACACTGTGTGTCACCATCCCATGATTCACTAGCCTTAGTCCAGGTGATCTACGTGATCACTGACTTTTAGTAAAGCACCCAAGTTTACATGCACTTTGAAAGGGTACCACGGCCACTGCTAAGAGGGGGCCCAATGTGGTTCACCCCCTGAGCAGCTGCCCCCCCGACAAGGGCAAAATAAGTTTTGTTCTTGTGACCCCCCCCTGCCGGTACTATGCCCCCCCCCCATCCCTGAAGCTGGCCCTGGTGTTGAAGGATACCATGTTGCTATTTCACCAGTAAATGCACACTAGCACAGAAAGAGAATCTTGAGGGAGCACACTCAAACTTGCCATCACTTACTCTCTCTGTGGAACCGGGCATGGTTGGCCAAGATGTTGTACGTCCCTGTAGGGGACGGCAAGGCAAACGACGGCTTAAACTTGACCGGGCAACCCATGTACACGTCCACCTTGGGCAGGGCAAAGGTCAAGTGTCTAGCATCGCCAAAGCGATACAGGACGTTCTGGAGCGTAGAGCTGCCCGTCTTGTGAGTCTTAAGCAGCAGGATGTTTTTCTGTTCCTCGCAGGAACTTTGCTCTGTGCCCTGGGGAACTTCAACCTCCTTGCTCTTGTTGGACCCAGTACTTGTGACCGACGCTCTGGGTCTTGTAAAGTTGGTTCCTCTTGCGCCAAGATTCTTCAGACCTTTATGTTGACAGACAAAACAAATGAAGAAAAGGGAAATGGTTGAAGGTTACAACTGAGAAGGGTGTTCCATGCTCAAGCTGCCACCTACATGTGTAGACCTACGTGTACGTACATGTATAATCCAATGGCGCTGTGCTTTGTTCACCCTATGTGCTGTCTACAGTCGTTTTGCCATCAGCCTACACTTAAAGTATGGCAGACACAACAGGAGGGCCCCATTTGGTTAGGGTAAAATCTCACGTTTCCTGAAAATGCACGTACTTCAAACAGCGCCCTCCTTAAAAGTCTGTCATACTATAAATAGGCTGATAGGAGAGTGCACATAATAAAACCAAAGCATGGAATCATAATGTTACAGGTCTGCAGTACTTGTTTTCAAAAGGTTCTCTTTTCAAAAGGTTTGCAAAAGCCGTCTTAATCTACATCTGCTGAGTGCATTCGTCAATTTTTCATTGTATGTGATGAAGCTACAAGGTATGATATTGTGCGACTGAGAGTTGTGCAGTTTTTTGATACTACCAATGTCATTTCCTTGATTTTCTATTTCATCTGCATCAATGACACTGGCCAATGTCACATGCTTTATTTCATTGACATGTATTATGACTGAAGTCTCATCTAGAAACCTATCTACCTGTCCCGAGGACGAGCCATACTAATTTCAGACTGGCAATTTTTCCTTGGAGAAGACTTGAAGCCCTCCCCCTAGATGTCTAGAAATATCTTGGACACAGGTGAAAATCTTCATATTTTCTTCCAAAACATTTGCTGTAACCGAAATATGGGCTTAGATAGCATTGAGGGGCATTAACTGCTTAACTTTCACGGGAAGTGGATAGGTGGTGTTTCAAACATTGCCAAGAGCGGCAAGGCAGATAGCGTAATCCTACATGTAGATGAATCCCTGAATTGTGAGTATGCACCTTGTTTGCCGACGAGGTTCTCCACTGCTTGTCCTTTCTTTGTCATGCTGAGATTCGGTGAGAGTACCCTCCTTTCGCTGCTACTGCCAGCGGCTTGTTCTCGACTAACTGCTTTACTGGGAAGCAGCGACGTCCATAGTGCTTGACTTGTCACGGGGTTTCTGCTGAGCGAAAGCAAGTCCCCGCACTCTCTGAATATATTCAGCAGGTGCATCACTACTGCTATTTCACATTGCATTATGTCTTAATAAATCCAAAACCCCTGAATAACTTTCTGCCATCTGAGTGATGCATTGATGATGATTTATTTGTCCCAGCACAAGGCATGCGGACCACTGATGTGACCTTTCAATACAATGGGCCTCCACACATGCACTGCAGTTGAACCCGTTTGGCAATTCTTTTTCATCAAACACTGACTTTCTGGGGCTGTTAAGCGGCTCTTCCCACAAAGGGGTCGACGCTAACAACAAACACAGAACTGCATTGTTCCTCCCTCCAACATAAAAACTTTTTTAAGTTGTACTTGATATTGACGCTTCTAATACAAAGAAATATCAAATAAGCTGTGAAACGGAAGAGTCAGGACTAATTGTAATCTGTGGACATAAACTTTTAGATTCCGTGTTTATTCATGGTATGCCCAACCCTCACGATGCCTAGTCACCTGAAAGGTGCAGTACTTATCCTAACTGTTTCCAACGAGATCTGGTGTTGGAGTTTAGCCAGTTTGGGATATTTAGGGTGAATGGATGTAGCCAAAATGCACAGTAAGCCTCTTGCTGCGATCTTACATCAGGGAGAGAAAGGAAATATAACAAAATATCAAAACGTAACAATCGGACGGCGAAGGCAGTTTAAAACAAATTGTTTCCCACTTAAGCGATGACATGAATAGGAAGAATACATGTAATTGAACCAGAGCATTCTATATGGTGACCCATGGAACTACCCTCCCCCCTCAAAAAAAGAAGCAAAAACATGTTGTCGAAAATTCTGAAAGGCAAGTATTTTTGATCCGTTTCATTTTCCTTCCTTCAAAAAGTAGAGCCAGACATGTAGCCTCAACTACAGGTGTATCAGAAAGGAGAGAAGAGGTTACATGGGAAGAATTTCCAAAACTTTTGCCCCTCTAAATTTAAAAATTTGGTTCGGATTCTGTTCTTGATATTTCCCCTCCCCACCTGGCAATGCCCCTTCTTTCGCTTTATGGCCCGATTCTGAATCTACAAGCCTATGTATTCGAGACCCACGGTTTCATGGAGTGCCTGACGGTAATGCCACAAAGGCATTTTCACACAATAGCCTCGAAGCCCTGGGCAAACAAACGACTGCCCCGGGTTGAAAATTGAATTTTTCAACCCTGACAGCAGCCCCGCATTGTTTCACACTTGCTTCATGAGACCCTAGCTTATCGGGCCAAGTTCAACCCAGAAATGACCGCGATTTTCAAGGCGAGTAAACATCTCGACCCTGCTCCAGACCGGGGTGGAGTTCAACCCGGGTTGAAGTCACACTTGGGATTGGTGGGGGTCGAAAATTGTCAACTGTGAATTTTCGGCAAATTTTCAACCCTGCATCCTCCCTGCTTCAACCCTGAGATTTGTCTAACTAATGAAAAGGCCTCAAATTACACCTTGCTTGATAGTGCACCCTTCCTTTCCTCTGCCATCGGTCACAGCATCAATAAAACACCAACCTCTTGACATGAATCCGGTGGGACCCTGACGAGGCTCTGTCCTTGTTGCGAGTGAGGTACATCAGCGAGATGACCGTGAACACTGTGACAAGGATCAGGGTCCCCAGGAACGCCTTCATAATACTCATGGCTGCAGACTCCGCCCCCCGAGGAGGCTGGCTAGCCCAGGCTCATGATGGGTAGTGTAGCATACAGAACCTGCAAGGTGAAAAAGACTAATTGATAACAGGTTTATCAGGCCATGTGAAAAAGAAAACGAGTTTGTCAACTGAACTCACTTCCATTTTCCTCATCCGGCTTTTTTCTTTCTTTTTGTTTTTGCTTTGAGCTTTCCCTCTTGAAGTCTGTAAAGTCATTTGACTTTCTATTTGCGGCTTTCAGACTCAATTATAATCAGGCCTGTGGTAGATTAACAAACGCAACATAACCATGTCACTTCATCATCTCTGCAAGGCCATAGTATATACATTTGTCATTTATACAGAAATCACGAATGGGTGAATTGACTGCTCTTTAAAACGTCAATTGCTGTCCATAATTTCAAAGGGGCATTCCCATTTGCCATTTGCACATTTTTAACAGGTACCCTTCAGGTGTCTGTTTGAACATGAGCATTTTACAACAGGTGTTTGTCCTCAACACTGCCAGCAGCGTATTTGTCGTGTTCTCGGTGATGTCAGTGTATTCAACTGACATTACAATAGCCTTTCTTTTCCAACCAGTATACTCAAAGTGGCAGAATCCGGTACACCTGTGACTACGAGTATACTTGTCAAGTATTGCCTAGTATTGACAGAGGAGTACGCAAGGGGCCCTGTTTACGAGTCATTGCTATCCTTAGCCCCATTATTTGGCATGTCTTCGTACCCTAGGCCCAAGCTCCATGAATGCATGCACTGACTGCAGTGCTGACACTCATGTGTGATAACCAGTCGCTTCGGCACCTTGCTAACTAGGCACCCACCAACTTGGCCTCCGCCAACTCGGGACCTACATGTACTTTTGTGGACAGCATGCAAAAAATCACGGAAGCCGTGAATTGATGAAAATTTTCCAGGGCACCAGTAGGCCTAGCCTAGCCTAGGCCTACCCTTACAGCTTCAATTGGTTGTGAGTGCTGGTGCCATGTTGGTCAGGTGCCAAGGTGTCAGGTGTATTAAAAACTAAAAAAGTGGTCGAAACAACGACCGAATCCATTTTTGAGATCTGTCATTTTTCTTCCATTTGAAAACGTCATTAGTACCTTCTTCACACCGAGGAGGAAAGCATTCTATGCTGGTTGACACGTTAGACTCAGACCCACCAACTTGCCCAAGATATTTGGAGGATACTTTGGTGTCTTTGTATCTACACAGTACTCTACAGCCTCGTACATGTGCACTACCAAGTTACAGGTATGACAAATCTGCACTCTCTCTTGACGTACGTGGATACGTGTGCGTGTTTGTTCCGCACAAGAACCAAAAATCTATGCATGTAGATAATAGCTCATGCCTCCATGCCTGGCAGATGTTTTAAGGTCGTATAGCGCCACCTAGCGGCGCAAGATGGAGAGTTGTCTTGAGTTTGAGCAAGGGAAACATGGACATCGGATGTACGGAGGCCGCAAGTGGCTCATTCATTTCTGGCATAATAGTTTGTCAACAGACATTGGCAACAAAAAGTTTCATATCAAATACAGCTAACAAACAAGTCCACTCCCATCTTCTTCAGTGTTTCATGTTTTCATCAGGGCAGAAAAATTGGAAGGGGTGGGTAATTCAAGCTTGAAAGAGAAAAATGCTTGAAGGCTTCCCTATTCTTCAGTCGATACCTCCAAGGGATGTGCATCACGGCTCCTATCTGATAATACAGAAAATGGCACACATACAAATGACTCACATAGCAATTCATTAGCAGTAAATGAAAAATCAGTAAAACGTCGTGAATGGTACGTACAGTTCATGTATACAAATTATCTCCGAGAGAGTGATTAAGTAAAACCACAACTGTGTAAGATACGAATTGATTCGAAGAACACATTCCCTGCACATGTAGACATATTCTAGAGTAAAAGTATCCATCCTGATGCACTTGAAAGACACAAATACATCAGTCAATGCTACTTTTTTGTATTTTATATATATTCATAAATCTTATGCAAAAAACAGTGCACATGACTGGAAACATGAATAAAGCCTGTTTTGTTCCCGTTTTAAAAGACAGGGACCTGTACGTTTTAAAACTGTTTTCATTCATACTGTTTTTAGCCTGTTTAAAGCCTGTTTTACTCCTGTTTTAAAAAACAAGGACCTGTTTTAAAACTGTTTTCATTCATACTGTTTTTAGCCTGTTTTTAAAACCTGTTTTATTCCTGTTTTTAGCGGTTCCAAGTCGTTTATTACTGTTTTAAAACATGTTTTTTCCTATTTAAATTTGACGAGGGAAGCCATTGTCCAACATGGGCAGTGAATCGTACCAAATTGTAAGTGTACAGGCTAATGGGGGAAACTTGGAATTATTATCACACGTAATCAGACTTATAACACGTTATTCATTAATTAAACATTCCCCATAACGTGTAATCACTGTATCCCTACTTTTCCCGCCCTGGAACTTGGCCAAAACCCTTCCCGCGTAACCCAAACAGGAGAACCTATCAAAATAGAGGCAATTTCCAGGGCACGCCCAAAACAAAAGAAACGGTCAGGGCGCTGCCATTACATGGCAGTAAACAAGGATATAGCTCTCCAATATGTACGACATCCAAATTGTATCTTGGGGTGTTTCAATCCCGGCTCTCTATTATTCCAGAGCCACCAGCAATCCTCAAAGACAGGGTTCGAACATAACACAGGTCCTGTGGCCCAATGCCAGTCAAAACGTGGGTGGACCAGCCAAACCCTTATTGAAGTGGTCCGGCAGACCCGTTCAAAAAGGAGACGCAACGACGATGCAATTTTTTTTTCGCGTCCTCTTATTTCCCGGACACCAACCGCCTGCCAAAACAGCACAGGAACGCTCTATGCCTGCGATTGAATGTGCCAAACATAAATGTGTACCCTGTGTGTTTGTGTACCATGTGAGTACAGGGTACACAAATTCGTGCAAGAATTTTTCAGCACTTCTCGAAGCCCAAGCCTTGTGTAATAAACATCCCCATCCGGTCATGATTGGTTGCCAATGGAAGATCAGTAGGCTCCTGTTCATAAACATGTGCATGTATGTGTCAGTGAGACTCGCAGCCGTTCCTGCATCATCGGAAGTAGTGACTAACAATTTCCACTATAACTCGTGGTAGCTTACGTTTTACTGTAAATTTCCAGCTTGAAATAAGGCCAGTAAATTTCTGCTTCCAAGCTAGAATGTAGAAGGCTTTGTTGACAATAGGGCAGGGCAGTGGACTTACCCTGTGATATTCCGGAATCGGAAGTTTGTTTTGTCTTCTAGTTGTCGCACAAAACTATGTCCAAACCGTGTTCGTGCATTTTGACGGACATACCTGGGCTCATAGGCATGACAGTCAATAAAATACAAGCGTTCAGTTAAGATCCGCTTCAGCTAGCTGGCAATGGCAAGTCCAAAAGGGCTACTAGACTTTCTTTTAGAGCTATTTTTTTCTGAATATACGAACTTTCTTCACAGCATGTGACCTGTTCCTCAGAGGTAGTGAGCAAAACGTACAGCCACAGAGACGCAAGACGAATGGCGCAAAAAAGGGCGCTGAGGGAGAAAGCAGAGACTATTTTATTTCATGCAGTGTGAAATCCTTTAAGACCAGAAAGTAATAGCTATAATAATTTTAGAGAGTTTTCCGAAGACGAAAGAGCCAAAAGGTGCGGAAGCTCAGATAAAATGGCGTTGAAATTTGTGCCCTCGCACATTTTCAATAGGCCAGTCAAGCTCTTTGCTCCACATGGCATGCGCATACGCACATAAAATTAGAATTTATTATTATACATTTTTGTGTGTGTGTGCGTACATCTTAGTAGAGCAGTTGTTGTCTGGCAATATTGCGGAGAGTTGCCTGCTAGTTTTCTCGCAATAAAGAAGAATTTAGTTGTTACAAGTCCTGTATTTTTTTGTTTTGCTTTGGATGGGGGAGGGGTCTCACCAATCTGGAGATAAGACCTCCTTTACTCCATGAAAAAGTGCAAATGCATGAACGCCGTCAGGCACAACAAACACACAGCGGCGTAGCGAGGGCATTTTCTTGGGGGGGGTGCCAGGGTCAATTTGCCGACTGGTCGATGTACGTCAATAATTCATGACCTCCATTTCAGTTTCATCTGCCGACTGACCCTTTATTTGCCGACTGAAAAGAATTATTGGGGGGGTGCAACACCCCCACACCCCTCACTCGCTACGCCGCTGCGAACACAGTGTAGAAACCGATGTTTACTGGACGTTAATAGAAGTATTCTTGAATTGCACTTGTTAGGATAATGCAGGTCCGGAAGCTCTTGCGGATGGAAGCTATCATGCTGCTTGTATGGGAAGAGCTCACATTGCAGTCTTGCTCCCCGTATTGAAGAAAAAAAAACCCGACCAGTTCATGATTGTATCCAGCTACCACCGATGTGTGCTTGCTTGAGCCAAATGAAGCCAAGAAGAGACTCAATGGCTTCACAAACGTCGCACCCCTCCCTTCCCTCCCGACGAGCAAGAATTCTTTATCCGCCCCGATGGCCTGATACATTCTGAGAACGATATCCTGGAACCCTTGCCTGCAGTACAGTTTACAAATACACCATGGTTTGAAGGGAAATAATTGGGATCACTGGGCCTAAGTTGTACTTCCACGAGGATTTAACTAACCTTACAAATAGCAATGTACAAATTCGCTATAGGAAAGTTTCAGCTCTTTCTATTAGACCTATGTCAACTTACCTCTGCCGTCACAACGCATTTGCGTAGCAAGGTTTCATACCATTTTGATGAGATTAGATATCTGCTGAGGAAGTTTATTCACCTTTATTAAAAGGGTGAAATTATCACAAACGCAGCAAACAAACAAGCAAATGACTTCTGCAGTATGAAAAATGTTTCTAAAACAAAATCTTATAAGAAACACTGCAGAAACATATGTCTCGAACAAACGATTTCTTTTTGAAAAGATCTCATAAAATCGGAAGTTGGAACAACATCTTCGAAAAGAAGTCTTCATAAAATATACATCTCTTTTGGAAAATACATACTGGATCGCACTATAGAGGCCTTTCTGTCCTCGAGACTCACTAATTTAGAAAGAGAGAGAAAATTTGCAGTAATAAAGGTAGAATCCAAGTGAAAACAAATATTCATCCAGAGAAATATTTGAAACGAACAAAAACAAAGAGTTATACCGTAACGCTAGCCTTGGATCAAGCCTGGCTTCCTCAGACTGTTGTGTGAAACAGATTTGCCAAAGCGACATGGATCGCATTGTCAGACCTCTATCTGTATGCTACAGACTTGTATAAAGTCAAGTCAGGTCAATTTATCACAACACTGTATTATGAAATTCGAGCTTCCTATAACAGGACTGGCTGCTTGTGTTGTATCGCACAAAAAGAGAGAACCGCGTAGGAGGCTTCTGGGTCCGTGTACACATAAATGTATGCGAGGGAGAGGAAGTCCGAATTTTAAACAACAGCCTATGACGAGGTTTACCCATTGTTTCCTCCATGACGCACGACGAGTTGGTACCCTCCATGACCAGTAATTTGTATCCATAGCCACATCAGGCAGGTTTCCAGTCTAAGGTGTGGCTTAAAACATCTCTGGTTTGCATGTTTGTCTTGCATATAAGCCATATTTCAGGCCCTCTGTCCTGTATACCACTGCAGACGCTGTCCTTTATACCATCATATTGTCAACGTTATATTTTTGCTGATCCATACTAAGCATTGGTGATTTCAAAGAGAACATGGGTAAGTTACTTAAAAATTAATGTTCTTGTAAGTGGTCACAGTAAACCGTCACACTACTTTTTAGCGCGCGATTTGATCATGGATGTGGTCGTCGTTGAATTCCATTTGTGTTGGACCATGACCAGGACAGTAATAATTATGCAGGCATGGCTTACAAATATCAAATCTCTGTGTCAGAGCCCTGAGTAGCTATCTAGGTCACCCAATGAAGGTCTCACGGTATATTTTAGCTAGGGGTGTAGTTCAGTAGATACTTCGGTACCGGTCCTGTGTAAGTCGCGCTGCATAGATCGACCGTGGCCATTGCGGCAGGAGGCGGCAGAACTCTTGGATGTGATTCCCAAATAACCAGACGGACCGTTCTTTTTGTAGTTGCAAACACGGATTGACCGGGGGATATTGAGTTCCAGTTGGATGACTGCAGTTTCTCAAAAAAATTTTCTTATCTTGTCCTTAGTCTGTCCATTTCTTTTCAAGTTTGGTAGGTCGGATAAAAACTGTGTACCTATTAACAAACGATATAGAAATGTTTCTAAACATAGATCTCGTAAGAATGAAAAAGATGCCTTGAACAACCGAACTTTGACAAACAATCCGCGTAAAAACGAAGAGAGACAGATTATATCGCCTAAACACAGCCTTTATATAACGGGTTTTGCCCTCACCCAAACTCATATTAATCAGCACTGTATGCTCAGTGCTTGTCCGAGAGCTTGCGAAAAAAAAACCCTCACAAGCTTACTCGGGTGGGACTCAAACCCATGACCTCCTTCTTACTAGTGCAGATGTCTTAACCACTCGACCACCGACCTTGCCGGGGTCGATTGGCCGGTCTGAGTCACTGAAGCAGTGGCACCACGAACTATTTTCAAGATGTATTTTTGCGTTGGGGAGATGTTAATTTATATAACGGGTTTTCCCCTTACCCAACGTATATTAATAAACACTGTATTCTCAAGGCTTGTCCGAGAACTTGCAAAAAAAAAAAAACCTCATAAGCTTACTCGGCTGAGACTCGAACCCACGACCTCCTTCTTACTAGTGCAGATGTCTTAACCACTCGACCACCGAGCTTGTCGGGGTGAGATGGCCGGTCTGAGTCACTAAAGCAGTGGTACCGCGAACTATTTTCAAGAATTTGGACACTCATATTTGGTCGCAATACAGGTTATTTGTATCCTTTCCATTCAAGGATTAGGAAAACGATAACTTTCCGCAATGGTAGAATCCAGCTGAAAACAAAGAAAGTTTATCTTTAAACGTTCAAAAATAAGAGCTCTAACGGGACGTTAACCTTGATTCCAAGCCTGATTCACCTCTCAGTTTGTTGTGTGAACAAATTCGCCCGACAGACGTGAATCACTGCAAACTTGTGCAAGGTTAAGTCACACTCATTGCCTTCAACCTTTTGAAGGTTAAAATTATTACTCTGGTCCTGTCCCGCGAAATTCTGGTCAACGACGTCAGACACGTTGTGGTATGAACTCGACTGGCTGGTGTTATTGCGCAGTTTTGAATTTTGAATATTTTGAGCAAACCGGCTGCGAGTCTCATGGATACGCATTTGAGGGAAAGTCCGAATCTTACACAGCAACCCTTGACGAGGTTTGTCCATTATATTTCCTCCATGACGCACGAGCAGTTGGTGCCCTTTTGGCAGGGGTCCAGGCTTAGGTGTGACTCGATCACAACCTCCCTGACTTGTAATTTGGTCTTGCATCAACAACCTTTTAGCAGCTCCATGTTAACTGTTGGTGATTTCATGAAGAACATGGGTGGGCTGTTGACGAATTTCATGTTCTTGTTAGAGATGGTCAAAGTGAACCGTCACACGACTTTTTAGCGAGGGATTTGATCACTGTATACTCGAGGACCGTGACTAGGACCAGAATAATGCGCAGCCAAGACGTACAGACATCAATCAGATCGCGGTAGAAGGGTACTCAGAAATGATCTAGAACGCTAAATAAAGGTGTCGTAGTCCGTGTCGGGTATTGTGGGTAGGGTTGCAAGCAAAGCTCAAACTGTTTGCTTGGACAAAAATGACGATTTTTCATTCTCTCTTATTAGGTCCGTTTCAATCGTCATGCTTTAATATGCCGTGTCGAATAAACTTGAATTGAGCGCGATGTTAGCACGGCGTAAGCACGGCAGTGGTTTCAAACGTCCAACTTGACCGAACCTAAATAAATGCAACATAGTGGGCCGGTACAATCCGAAATGTGATTTTGCGATCTTTCAGCTTGAGTCACAAAGAAAACTAATTTAGCTTCGGCGACTACTACTAGTACTTTATTTCTCGAAAAAAAAAAATGGAGGCATTCTTATTAAGTTGCACTGTAGTCGGCATGCACGGCATAAGCACGACGTTAGAAAAGGCCCTCAATAGTGTGAGTGCGTGAAGTGACTATTGGCACACAACATGTGCACAAAGCTGAACCAACCACATGCCACACAAGCCGGTTATCTACCGGTCCCTATATAACAGGGATGAGTACCAGTCCACCTTTGGTGCGAACTGCACTTCACTGGTTCACAAACGACTATGAAATGCGAGCATCACAGTCGTGTAGCTACCAACAAAAATGACCACTCCTGATGGCTCTTTTCTTTTTTCAACCGATGAGGGGGGGGGGGGTGCTTCTGCTGAAGGCAGATTCCTGGCCAGGCCTTGTTTTCTTTTCTGACGGCACAGACAGTGCGCTCTGCCATTGCACGTGTCCGCCTTGAACAGAAGCACTCCATCATCGGTTGAAAGAGCCATGTTTGTATGGAGTTTTCAGAAACATCCCTTTTTTGTCCAGAACTCAGCATTTCTCATTGTGGTCAAAGCAAAGTGACCAATAGCAAAATAGCTGGTAAAATAATCGTTCGGTTGTATTTTATGTCTTGATGTTAAGAACACACACTTCGAAAGCGCCATCTATCTAGAAAACTATTCCCAGGCGCTAATTACCATTATCCCTGTACATTGGGCCCACATCATCTGAACGTTCCTTGAACCATCTCAGCTCCCCCCATGGGGGGGTATACTAGCCCAATGCTGCCATTTCGGTGAAAACAGCTACAATTAAACGTAATTGTGTCTGCTCTCACAGGTACCCATTTACTCCCGGGCGCGGAGAGAGGCACATACGGGTAAAGTGACTTGCCCAAGATCACAACATGCAGCCACGAGCTGGATTCAAACCCCCGGTCCTATGATCATAAGCTACAAACCCTAACCACATGCCCTCCATGTCATTTTTGGGTGTATTTTGTGCCTGGTGACACCGGACCAAAGATTTTTATCGGGGGAGTATCTTCATGTCAAAGAACCAGACGATTCCCATTAAGGGAGCCTCAGTTGCTTGGAATTTTGCGCCCTCTCTTATTCCTACTCTAGGCGGATGTCACACTGTAAAGGCACCAGACTCACAGATTTCAATTTTTCATTGACTTCAACGGAAACAATTGAGTTCAATTACTTGAAACTATCAAATGTTCCACCTTTTATTGGATTACTGACAATCTGTGCGTATTTTGTATAATTGAGAAATGGAGCAGGCTGACCTCACAATTAAGAATTCAGTCAAACGACAGTCTATATTGAGCTCTTTTCTGTGAGGGACCTGAGAGGTTTCTGGGCTTTTCTCAGTGACAGTTCTCACGCTTGAGACCTGCACCTTGGTGGGCTGGCAGTCACAGCAACATGGCTCCTTGTGGGATAACTTCAGCCCTTTTTCTGTTGGCTTTAGATGTCATAGCAATTTGGGCAAACTTTTAGACGTCGGGGGTTTCTTTCTTTTGGTTTCTTTTTGGTTACAATTTCATTGCTGATTGACACCTGGGAATAATCGAAGGGAGCCAAGCCACAATCACCTCGAGCCCATTTTTTGCCTGGTTTTGCGCCTCCTATCCTCCTTCATTGGCGGACTGATCTCCACCCTCCTGACAACTGTAGAAGGACCGGACTGCTGTTTATTTCTTTGGTGGTTTTTTTGTTTGCACAAAAGGCCATGCGCAGTGGTGACCCCAGACTCTACAAGTCTGGGCCTTGACAAATCTTGTTAGGGGAGCCACATACCCAGAGAACTAAAGGCAGAAAGGATTGACTTGTCTTTTTGTATCTTTCCTTCAGGTCGTGCAATAATCACATTGGCTGTGTTCCTGGCTGCAGTGGTCCTTGGTAGGTATAACCGACCTTTAAATTATAATAAATGAATAATAATTCATTCATTTATAAAGCGCAAATTTCATATAGAAATGTTCAAATGCGCTATACAATGAAGACATTAAGTGTGGAATAATGAATACATTTAAACAAGATTGAGCCAATGGCATACAAGGGCGCCTCGGGCAGCAGCCAAACGACCCACATTCACCAACATCGGTAAAGGGGAGACAGTAAGAAGCAGTTACAGTTTTAGAGGTGGGAGAAAAACCCCAGAGGAAAAGTCTGGGTAAAACCCACGGAATCAGGTAGGGACTGAAAACCCAATCCACTTATGGACCGGGCCGAGAATCGAACCCGGGACCACAGAGGTGGAAAGTGAGGAAAGAACTACCTTGCCAACCCGACTCCAAACCGATTTGTCAATTTATGTGATTTTGAGATTGTTTGGATTGTGTTTTAACTTGGCATTCCATTTTATTATTAAATTAGCAGCATTACTTACGCGATGCAAATAGCCGAGTGCGCTATTTCCTCATAAAGACCCCTGACTCCTTGTAAATAGTATTCAGTCCTGCATTAGCTTCACTGGTGGCAAGATGGCCCACACGCAGTTGGGGATCGGTCTATTCTTATTAATGCACACTGCTTCCTCTTAGTGAACCAGGTTTGGCAGTGGTATACAGCTAAAAGGTGAGTCACGGTGACGTTGATCTTATCAGTCTGGATTCAATGGATTGGTCCACAATCAAGACCGTTCCCTTTATTTGTTCTTTGTAAAAAAAATAAATATCCATTCACTTGTATTCTACAAAAAGAAAAATGTCAGATTTATTACCCTAGGGTAAAGAAGAAAGCCCCGAAAAGTTTATTTATTTGATAAAAAGACCGCAGCATCTGACAAAGCTAGCCACTGAAAACTACTAAATTAGGTAGGCGCTGATGAGGGGGGGGGTCGAACCCACTGCTCTGAGACTAAAAGGGGTAAAAAAGGGAAATAATATTAATACAAACTAAAGAAAAGGCGCCAATACTACTGCCAATAATATATCATGTTTAATGTTTCATCATTGTTTCCGCTTGTCCGCAAAACTGAGACATAAAAAAATCCGGCCTGACCCCCCCAGAAAATTTCCTTGATCTGCCCTTGTTAGGTCTCGCTATGTAGGTGATCCAGACTTTCGAACTGGCAGTAGACTGGTAAACACCAACACGCCAATGATTATTATTCGTTGCTGACCGTATAGGGCTTATTCGGTCGATCAGTACTCACGGCCCATAGACGTTCCGTATTGAGGGTTTAGATTTCATCATTTATCGTACTGCCACGGTTGACGATCTGTTACCCGGTTTTAACGAAACTGCTTAGTTAGGTGAACTTGATTTTACTATCCTAAAACAAGCTGCTGGCAGTGGAAACCTTACAGAGTTTGTACATTCCACCCATTCTCGTTCGAAGGTTTTGCAGGAGTTAGATCTTTTTTTGGATAATTTTGAAAAGTTTTATTGCTACATACAGCACTAATCCTTGTTTATAGACCAACAACAGAAATTATAGTTGTCATCAACCCTCAACGTAGTTTCTGGCCAGTAGGCAGAAGTTAAGAAGTAAACTTGACTCGTCGATCAAGTAACGCACGCATTCGATGATTCCTGTTGGTGTAGGTTTGTTGCTTAATCAATTATTGGCTCAAACTCTCGACACGGGTCCGTAATTCCCACCTCTGCGATCTTTACAGTGAGCAGCCTCAAGTGCCATGTCTGTTTCAACGTGGTGGGGAACGAGGCATCGACTTCCTGTTGCGACAACCCCGGGGCGTCAGAGCTCACCTTTGAATGTGATCCACCGAGCCGCGACTACGTGGCCAGATGCAACAAAATTGACGGGACTCTCACCTTCCCATCTTTGGGTAAGCACACCTCAAGCTAACTTCGTCGTGAACTCTGCTCAGTGGCGTAAATTCGTGTCAGAAATGGGGGGGGGGTTGACATGAACACTTGGAAAGCTTGAGGAGAATGTGGCAAGATATGACTCTATTTTATAGACGTCAATGGTCATGATAATAATAAACATCTGTAATTTGCATTCAAAATGGCATATAAATGTCTTTTAAAATTGTTTTCCTTTTTTAGTGATATGGAATGCATTTTTATTTAGTCCTTGGGATTCTGAAAAATTCATCACAGTCCAGTTTAATGTTTTTGCTCACAAAGCTGGGGGGGGGAGTGATACAATAAAAGAGGTGGGGGACTATACCCCACCCCCCGGATTTACGCCCATGACTGTGCCAGCGGAAAATGTAATGCCTGGTGCCTTGTCTGGCGAGTGTTATCAGACCAATAAAGCTGACCACAAGGAAGAACTACCAAAGCCTTGGAGCGCCATCAAGTGTATATTTTCAAAAAGCAAAGTATATTTTTTCGAAGTCCGTTTTTAGGAGATATATTTTTTCCAGCTTCGTTTGTATGAGATATATACTTCCCAAAGTTCGTTTGCTCGAGACTTGCACTCTTCACATCGTTCTAATGACATTTACTTGTATGTGTAGAAACATTGTTTATATTTCTGGAAATAAGTCGTGTTTATGAGAAACATTATTTGAAAAAGTTTATTTTTTTACAATATGTAATTTTTCCAAGTTAATTTTAAGAAGATATTTCATTTCTAGATGTATTTTTTTGCGTTGGGAAGATGTTAATTTAAATAACAGGTTTTGCCCTTACCCAACGTACAGATTAATAATCACTGTATGCTCATTTCTAATTTTCAGTATTGGATTTACATCTTCCAAAAAGAAAGCTACAAAAAATGTAGCTAATGGGAACAAGCTTCAAAGAAAATCTCAAAAAAAACAACTTGGAAAAAAATTTCTCGTCAAAACAATTTGTTTCCAAAAGTGGAAACAATGTTTTTATTAAATAGATCTTAAGGGAACAAACTGGAGAACATATATCGCAAACAAATGAACTAGGGAAATAATACTTCAATTTAAAAAAAAATACTTGGCGTGACTACAAAGGTTTTGTAAAGAACCCAGTTCCCCGCCCCTTTTTTTGGGAAGGTGCAGTCCCTGTTTTTTTGTATTTGTTTTAAGTGAAAGGGTTTTTCCAAGCTGTTTTTCGTAACTCCTGTGCTTAGGAGTTTGTAACGAACTGGCTGGGGAAGCCGGTTGGGGAGGAACAATTCGTTTTTATTCATCTGACCCAGTGTTCAAAAAACCCCTTGTTTTCCCAGTGAAGGGTGCAATTGTGTGCTTATTACTGGTCAGATTTTGAACATGTCTATCACATTGACCGTATAATTTAAAATTCGTCTTGAGAATATCCAAAGGCCTTGGCCTATGTCTTCTCCGCCATTTCATTCGACATCTGGCTTTATAGTTGCTTTATTTTCGTCCACCGTAGGAACTGAGTTCAACCAGCAAGGTCTTGTGCGACAATGCAGATTTTTCCGTTCCAATGAAGTTCCCGAGAACACGTGCTACTCCGGAAATGACGCCCTCCCGTGGCTGAATGAAGACGCCGTCTCCATCGAGTTTGATGGCGAGGTGTGCTTTTGCAACGCCACAGACCGGTGCAATGGCGCAGCCTCTCTCAAGCTGCTCGGGTGGCAATTGGGCGTTCTGGTCACCGCCACAATGCTGTGGAATATCTAGCCTATGCGCCGTCCGCGAAAAATGGACGGTGAGGCTGAGTCCTTCTTGCTACGGCGTTATATCTACCACGATCTAGAAAGTTTAGGCTAGGAAGGAGTGAGAGGGATTGTGTTTTACTTCATTACAATCCCTGTGACCTCTCCGAAGATATTCTTATTAAAGCTTGTTTGAAAAAAAGTTTTGACTTACCTTTAAAGAGAATCAATAAGCCTAACTCAGGTTGAATAGGCGGTATGGGATTTCAACAGGCTGTCTGGAATGTGAGCTGTGTACTTTGTTATTCTGTTGTTGTCAAAAGCTAATCATCCGGAGAAGTCAAGTGTGCTGTGGAAATCTAAATTTGTATCTAACACTAATTAAACGTGGACTCATTAGTATGTTGTGCACGGTCGACTTGCCTGAAATGGAGTTCGCATTTTGTTAATTATATCGATTTAATCAATGTGCGGTTGTACTATGTAAAGTGAATTTTGTTTCTCTTTAGTACACTATTATACCAATAGGGCTAAACCCAGCCAGGCCTCCATCGAGATAATTGGCCCTATTCGTGGGAACAAAATTTCAGTCATATTCCCCAACGTAGTATATTTACTTGAAAACGTTAAATTCAAAGAACCAGACTATATTCTACGATTTTAATCCGACCCCCCGCCCAAATCACCTGGTACCATCCCGTTAAGGGTTTCAAATTCACACTGGACGTTCAGGAATACGATTGAAATTGACAATTGACCTGTCAATGGACCGTCTCGTCTCCAAATGCAATATTCAGTGGTTAATACGTAAGGGGGGTGGCACATTTTGACTCCCCTTGGAGTCGAATTTGTCGTGGAAGATTTACATATTGAATATTTAGCGGCCCTTAATATGAGATGAATTAGATGGCACGTACACCACCTCTGCATGTTTGGACAGAGAGTCTTTTACGATCCTCAGTTTACTTGTCCACAGTGGGTAGCTCACCCCTACAAACCCTTCACAGTATCTTGACAAAGTTTCTCTGTTAAATAAAACATCTACGGAAGGGCTATCAAATGGCCCAACGGTATCTTGCTACGGTGCCTGTCTCGTACGAGTGAGCCTGTGGGGAGAGAGGTTTCCAACCAAAGGAAGTTGAAGTTTTTAACAGTACTCGGTATCTTAAAAAAAGAAAAAAACAAACAAAAATCTTGTTTGGGGTCTGAATCCCCGCACTCTGACGAAGGGGGGCGGACCACATTGCAATCTCCTTCCACTTTGTCTATGAGCGAAACGACGCCTGAGGAATTTCAAATTACTTGTAAACGTTTCAACAATCACAATGCTAAACAGTACTAAATACAGAGAACGATAAAAACAGCTTTTCTTTCAGTTGCAGTGCATGGATGTGAAGGGCCCTTACAATAAAGTTTTTCATGTAGTCTGAGTACCTTTTATTGAGATTTTTGGTGCCCCTCTCGGTTTTATGCGAATGCAAAATTGTTATTTTAGCTTAGCTCTAGTGTGGCGTGACATTTCAGGACAAGCACAAGAAATTGCTATCATTTTGGAGATTTTTGGTTCTATAGACCACTCTCATTTTGCCTATTACTATGAGCCTTAAGGTTTGCGGAAGAATGACTCTTAAATTGTTACTGCTGCTGTTTTTTTCCAATTTTATTTTTTGTTTGTTCGAAATGCACATCGTTCCTTTCATTTTGGAGGGGGGTTATAGTGTAAGTTCCATTTAGTATGTAGCATTGTGTGTATTATTATCTGGTATTTTGACGGCTGCTTGGGATTTTTAACACTTACTGAACTTTTTGAAAGTTTGGAAGGTTTTGTATTGTAGTTTCAGTAAAAGGCAGCAAGATAGTGATAAAACTTCTCTTAGAACCAAGTTTATTGAGTTAACGCTGAACAGGGCAAAAATTATTGGACCGTGCCTTTACGGAATAAAATCACAGCAACAACTCTCTTGATGACATAAGCCAGTGAATAATATCCGTTTCTTATCAAGCTCTACCGCCCTCATTTCAAAGATGTATTTTTCCCTGAAAAAGTGAACCGCTGGGTGCATCACACTATCTCCGCGTTTCAAGGAACTTGGACAAAATAAATCAGTAAGGCAACCAGCCTGTAACCATCTAGTAACTGTCTCACTGCTTCAGTTTCTAATTAATGTGTTAAAGACGTGACCTGGGTGTAATTTTGGCTTGAAACGTACTCGGAAATGTGTTGACGATACCTGCAGAATGTGATTAGGAAAAAAAATGATTTGATTGAGGGCGCCCTATAGGTTGAATGGTACAGAGGACTAAATTCAGATGCAATGCAACTTTCAGGAGAGCGCTTATCAACAAAACTGATCGTTGCTTCCAATTAACACTTGTACTATTACGACAACTAGGACATTTTTTAATTTGAAACAATTTAACAATCGGCTAAATTTGTTATAACACTTCAAAATGAGGTTCTCACCACAAGCGAGCCCGGAAAGACCCAACAAATCGCCCAAGGGTCCTCCTATCCTAGTGCTGCCCACACCGATTTATATTTTAGTGTAGACTAGGGTTCACCTCGTTTCTTATAATAAAACAACCTGGTTGTAAATGGAATCTCTACATTACTGGCAAGTTTCGTGTTGTAGTTTCTTACTGTAAACTTTGACAATCTTTCATACAAGGTAAAACCTCGACATTGTAAATGCAGTCATGAGTTCCCAGGCAAGAGTTTGGCTTACAAGATGTATACGGATAGATTAATAATTTAGCCTCCATCCATCTGTTTCACAACTATATCATCCCTTTATCTATGACCGCTGCTGCAATTTTTTGCTGATAATCCATAGGCCTAAAATTTGCGGACTGAGGTATAGGAAACTGAATATTCATGCATTTGTTAGTGTTTGGTATGATCTCATAAGAACATCAAAATTAAGTCATGCGCAGTTGCTTGTATTACACCATGTGCCGTAAATGTACGTGTGCAGTCAATGCCTTCAATGAACCCTTTCTCCTGGAATAATTTTGGGGATAAATAGCCCCGTTGTTTGCAATCTTTGACATATCATAAACTGATTTTTATCGAGCCCGATTTTTAAGTTCGTAAATCTGGCGTTAAAAAGCCTTTCCAAGATGATGAGCGTCAACATGACCTTCAACGCTGGCTTTATAACTATGTACTTCAAATTCTTGTGAAAACCCCGGCTGCAAAGCATATATTGATTTTTCTTTACAGGAAGAGAGGAACTTATAAACGAATTTTCACTGCTCGAAAAAGGCTACTGCATATTTGATTACATAAGATCGTTGACTAAAAAATAATCCATCATAATATCAATCAATATTAATCAATTATAATCCTGCTGGCGTTTTAGTGTACGACCCTAAACAATAAGCATACTAAGTTGAAGAAGGAAACATACGCGATGTTCTTTCTCTGAAGTATAACGCAGTATTACTTTTCCCGCCCTGGAATTTGGCCAAACCCCTCCCCGCGTAACCCAAACAGGAGAACCTATCAAAATAGAAGCAATTTGCAGGGCTCGTCCAAAACAAAAGAAACGGTCAGGGTGCTGCCATTACATGGCAGTAAACAAGGATATAGCTCTCCATTATAGTATGTGCGACATTGAAATTGTATCTTGGAGTGTTTCAATACCGGCTCTCTATGGTTCCAGAGCCATCAGCAATCCTCCAAGACAGGGTTCGAACATAACGCAGGTCCTGTTGCCAAATACCAGTCAAAACGTCCGTGGACCAGCCAAACCCTTGTTGAACTTGAGCGGTCCAGCGGACCCGTTAATTAAAAGAAAACAGGAGACGCGACAACGATGCAAATTTTTTCGCGTCGTCTTATTTCCCGGACACCAACCGCCTGCAAAAACAGCACAGGAGCGCTGTATGCCTGCGATTGAATGTGCTGAACATAAATGCGTGCGTACAGGGTCCACAAATTTGTGCGAGAATTTTTCAGCACTTCTGGAAGTCAAAGCCTTGTGTATAAACATCACCTTAAGGTCATGATTGGTTGCCAATGGAAGATCATAGGCCCCTATTCAATAACATGTACGTGTCAGTGGAACTCACAGTCGTTCCTGCAAGATCGGAAGTAGTATTAACAATTTCCACTATAACTCGTGGTAGCTCACGTTTCACTGTAAATTTCCAGCATGAAATAAGGCTAGTGCTTTCGCACTAGAAGGCTTTGATAAGAATAGGGCATGGCAGTGTAGACTCTGTGATATTCCGGAATTCAGATTCAAACGCAAATTGTTTTCTTTTCTTTCTTTCTTTTTTTTGGTGCAGTCGTCGCGCAAAACTATGTCCAAACGGTGTTCGTGCATTTTGACGGACACACATGGGCTCAGAGGCATGAAAGTCAATAAAATACACGAATTCAGTTAACCCTGCCCCTATATCCACCCGGATGCCAACGGTAAGTCCAAAAAGGCTACTTCGGTCTCTTCCAGAGTTCATTTTTTTCTTCTGAATATACTCACAGTTCTTCACAGCATGTGACCGGTTCCTCAGAGGTGGTGAACTCCGTTGGTTTTTGTTGTAATTTCACAAGATTGGCTGAATACACTGTTTAATATTCACTGCAACTTACACTCACTGGTTTCATGTTTGAGTGAACTGCTTTGTCAGAAATCGAGAAAAACATTGTGGCGTTTTCAACGATTAAATAGAAGATCTTGTAATTTATCTTGCATAATATCTATGAATTACAGGGCGTTCGTAGGAAGCAAACATCTGCGGCGTCAGGGTGGGAAACAGGAACTTACAAGGGAGCAGTTTTCAACGGCTAGGAGCAATCAGGGAATTTACCTCGGAGTAATGCGCCTCCTCGACATTGTACATGTAAAATTGCAGATTTATGAAAAAACTTCATCTAGGAAAACAGTCGACTCGTGTCCGTGACACCAAACATTGCCAAAATGAGTAGACCTATCATAATGCACGTGCGCGCTTGTTCATACTTTCACGTCATTTTACTCGACGATGAAAAGCTAACTCCTTTCGTAGTTGATTCACTAATAAAACTAATTCCACCAAAAATAAACAATTACGGGGAAGCACAATTTGTTATTAAAAAACTGTAAATAGTAAAACAAACACCAAAAATTCATAACAGAAATTATTGAAAAATAATTAATCAACATTTGAAAATAATTTGTCCCAATCATTATTTGACCAATGATCCAAAATGGGAATGTTAAATAAAAGAGATTGACCTTATTAAACTAAGGTCAATGGAATAATATTAGTGGCATAATGGAAATATACAAGTGCCATTTTCAGAGGCCAAGGAATCGTAGAATTTCCCACTTTTGCCACACACGTAACCGAGAATGACCCCCCTACTCATTTGCTAATTTAAGGGAATTATAAAATAAGTAGTGAAATGAACAATGAAATGAGCAAATGAGTAGTGAAATGAGCACTTGAAAAGGCAAAAAGGAAAAATAACGAGCAATTATATGTTGAAACTATTTCATTTGGATCTTTTCATTTGAAAACTATCCTTCTTAGGGTGGGCATGATTGTTATTTCTGTTGTCAAATCCCGTACTTGTTATTGGAAGTTTTGAGAGACACTTGAAAAGTGCACATGGAGCAGAAGAATCCCAAAAGGATGAAGTTGACGATAATCATTAAGCTGTTAACTCCGAATATTCTGACGCGTATAATTATTCTGAACCAGGGTGTAGATTTGGAGAATTGCGAGCAGAATTTGTGCAACTGAATGGTGAAAACGAAGATTTCGAAGACGATGATTCAGAAACTGAAACGGAGGCCGAAGATGACGAAACCTCGGATGAAGACAGTTCAGAATTGAAAGGAAATGCCACTTATCAGAGAAACAAATACGGAAATGTGGGATAAAAAATATAAAATAAAGTACGAGTACAAACTTCTGGTAATCGTTCTTGTAATAATTCTTGTAATTATTAATTGTAAAAACAACAAATGCCGGAAAAAATTAAAAACCAGTGCTTAAGCCAGTGAATGGACTCTATTGCATTTGTGTTGCGTTCTTACTGACCATATTGGTATATCAAATACATATATTGATATATATTATTCAATAATACATATAGTAATAGCTTGGTTTTTTCATATTTAGTCAGCGATAAAGAATAATTTACTTACAGTACTGGTGACGCTCTTGGTTTGAATTTCCCAAAACACATACATGTATAGGGTAAGGACATAACACGTCAGATCAAAGGATGACTAAATTCAGCCAGGCCCGTTCTTTATTATTGAACAGATTGACTTCTGAAATGTACTCAAGACTGGTAGTACATGCCCGACGTCTGTCACTCACTTTCCATGACTCAGAGCTGTGACGTCATGGAATCACCCTCCCGACATACAAGAAGCTCCTTGTAAACGATGCCCCGTTCAAACACATTGGGGTGTGCCATTTTCGTGTCGTCGGTAGATTCCCACGTCCATATCTTTCCTGGGTATACAAACACGTGTACATGTACTTCTTTCTCTGTGTATTATTATTTTGTATGCTCATCAATAACTTTGTTTATTTCTTGTGATGGAAACCAACACCTCTGTTTTTAAATATGTCATGTAAATACAGGTAATAAATCCTACAATAAAAATTATTAATTGATTAGCACACTTCATACCGACGTCTTAGTGTGGGATGGATACTTTTTTCAAGTAAAAATACAGTACGAATACGGTAAACTGCACTTAGGCATCATCAGCCATTTTTGTCGATTTCTTTCTGATAAACAAACTGCTGAAATGGTCCAAGGAGAATTTACAGAATCACATTCGGTTATAGCGCTCAGAGTAGGAAGACAGTTGTATCATTTGCTTTTGGTGTGAACAACAAAACTCAAATATTTTCCATTTTTATTGATGAAAGTACATTCTTTTTTTCAAAAAGAACAACCCAAGGGAATTATTAAGGATAACAGGCCTTTGAGCACTTATAATGGAGCGTTATTCACCCAATACTGAGTACATGTAGTAAACTGTGCATAAAATATATCCCAATAACAATTAATAGAAAATTATGTGTAACGAAGTAATATGTTTTTTCCTACATTTAGTCGGCGATAAAGAATAATTTACTTACAGCAACGCTCTTCTCGGTTTGAATTGCCAAAACCATAT